GATGACCAAGTTGTCTGAGGGAATATCACGGGTCGGAAGAAGGGGTAAAAGGATAGGGTTGGGTACGGAAGACAAAGAGTTAAACAAAGGTTGGAATATCTGATCAGTAGCCCACTTATCACTACCCACCCCGCTCGATGCAATGGGCAGAGCGACGACCGATGCAGTATGAAATTATTTTTTGTTTGTGTTCATTGGAGCTTTATGGACGGGTACTGCTAGGGTGTTCAGCCACTAAGCAGGAGAACGATTAGAGTTCTCGTCCAAAGCCTTTAGTTTTGACAAAAACCTAACCGCAAGGCAACGGTTAAGGCGGATTGGAGGCCCATTAACTTGAATCAACTATTCCTCCAACACGTTTTATCGACTGAGACACCGACTCAGGTTGAACCCCCAGCTTGGAGGATCAGCAGATTGGACTTCGTCTGACCTCTACCTATTGACCTTCCAGGCATGATTAGACCTTTGACTCGGCAAAAGCCATCCTGTGTGGTTCGTTGGGTCATAGAGGTGCACAAGCTATCACACCACGTCAAGGTGCAGCCTCGTGATGTAAGGTATTACGCGACTTGTAAAGAACTTGGCTCGGATGTCCTATCTTACAAAGACTACATGTTTAGAACCTGATCAGCCTCTGGTAATACTTCTATGGGCGTTTCTTTTCACGATACCTTTTTCTCTTTTCCAGCTCCGAACGACTGTTTTCCCAATGTCGGTTGACTCTTCAGTGAAAGTTGGTGTTCGTGTAAGACCGCTTTCATCAAACGAGGTGCAAGATGGTTGCTCATCTTGTCTGTCCTATCCGTTCGAATCGGATCGCATAATGATCGGGAGGGATAAATTATTCTCTTTCGATTTTGTTTTCGACGAATCCACATCTCAGAGGACCGTGTATACGAAGGCTGCGTTCCCGATGGTTGATTGTGTTCTGAAAGGATACAATGCCACTTTGTTCGCTTATGGTCAAACGGGAAGTGGAAAAACATATACTATGGGTACCTGCGCTATCGAAAATTTTACTGACGTAAACGTTGGCATCGTACCTCGCATTGTACATGATATCTTTGATCGGATGCCCATGTTTCCATTCGATTACACAGTCCGTGTCTCTTTTCTCGAGGTAGTTTCGTGTCCAGTTTTACGTAACACCATTTTAGATCTACAAGGAAGATATCCTCGACTTACTGTCAGAGGATGTCACTGCCCCGCTTCCGATTCGAGAAGATAATCAAGTTATCAAAGTAAGCCGTATCAATTCGTGCATCATGACTCTTTCCGTTCAGATCCCCGGGCTAACCGAGCGCATTGTGGGTTGTTCTGAGGAGGTACTTGCCCTGCTTCAATCAGGATCAACCAAGCGCAGTGTAGGAGGCACAGCTATGAATAGTCAATCCAGTCGAAGTCATGCCATTTTTACCTTACATTTTTTGCTACGTCCTAAGGAGCCCACGCCAGGAGAGAAGCCAAGAAAAGATCCTGCGGAACCGCCGGAGGCATCCGATGAATTGTCTCCCGGCGAGACCTTGACAGCGAAACTTCATCTGGTGGATTTAGCCGGTTCAGAACGGATCAAGAAAACGCACGCCGAAGGGGATCGACTGAAGGAAGGTTTGTCCTTGTCATTTTTGCTTTGGATAATGCTCTTCTGTGACTGTAATTGTACTTCGATAAGTACAAAGCAGCTGTTCATCATACACAGAAAGCGTCATCTTTTGTAAGTGTTGGTTACACCACCGATCCGTGTCTCCACACTGGCAATCTGATTAATGTTTGGTTTATTGTTGGGTGTAATAGCAGGTTTTTAAAGCCCAAATAGGTATTAAATTTCGAGAATCCATGTATTAAGCTTTTGGCTAAGCTCTGCTCTACTCATAAGATAGCAAGGTGTGGATAGTGTGAAGTTCACAGCTCGTTTGCAGTTGGCTTTCAAACAGTCGAATCTGACTTCTTTAACATCGTTGCTTCGCAAAAGAATGCCGCAGAAGTTAATCGTTTCAAACCAGGAGCGAGATCCGTCAAGGAGCCATGTTTTGCCATTCTTGTTCAATTTCGTCGTAGACGAAATACTGGAGAACGCACTCAGTGGTCTCTAAAAGGTAGGTATTGAATGGGCAGCTGGGAAAAGCTATGCGATTTAGAGTACGCTGACGATATCGTTTGCCTGTTCGAGTGTATGGAGAATGCGCAAAGCGCTCTTGGCAGACTAGCAAGTTCTGTAACTCTTTTCCGCATGCGC